GTCAACGGATATTCTGAGCATTAGAACCAATCTTATATGGCAGGTTATTGCCGCAGAGAAGGCCAGCAAAGGTGATTTACATGAAAAGCTAACCATGACTGTTGCAGTGCCATTATTATGGGGGGTTCCTCCAGTTTCCGAGACTCTTCACCTAGCTGTCAAAAGATGGTGAGTAATAAAATGATTGTCCTACACTTGGAAATAAATATCAAATCATGGTGAAGGACTTGATAAAAAATCAATAATGGGTAACTGACATTGGGCACAAATATTGTTGATTGGCTTACCATGCACTACAGCATTCAAAAACTTTAAGAAGAAAAATAAAGACTAATTCTTCGATTACTTCTTTCTCCTCATGTACACAGAAATATGAAAGCTGGAAAGCATTTTGAAAACTAATTCCACAAAAGAAGATCTCAGTCATACATGACATTCTCGGGGGAGAGAGTAAACAGTGCTTTTTTGACATTTTCACACTCCCTTGCATTAAAATTTGTAGAATAATAAACACGTTTCGCGTTAATGTCAAGACTTAAGACATGTACTTGTAATTTCCCATGTCTATTATATTATTCCAGTTGCTGCCAAATCTCGTTGGTCTAAATTCTAATCTCGTGGCAATGAAAACAAAAATGGTGAAGAGGTCAATGCATGTTTGGCTTCAACTTTTCCATCACTTAATTTCCTTGGAAAATTAAACTAATTAGTAATTTTTTATTCCAAACAAATAAGTACAAGTCACCAACCAAAGACTTGTCCAAGGCACCATTATTATCTTATTATCTTATTATCATCATATATATGTTTTTTGGAGCCTCTTGGCTAATCTCCCATAATGATTCTTTCTCACTCTTGAATCATGCAATGCATGCATTAATTTTTTTTTTGATAAGCAAAAGAGATTAATATTAAAAGGAGTACAAGGGGTACTCCAACCCGTTACAAGAGATACAGATACAAAATTAGTCTAAAATCTAAAATAGAAACTATAAGAAATACAATGTTGGGTTATTATACCAAGTTGAGTAACTAAAAGAACAAACAGGGATAGAACAATTTATCCACTTCCATGAACGCAATTTAATATTATCCAACACTTCCTTGGCATCTATAGTACCTTGCTGAAAGATAATAACATTTCGATGAAGCCATAGGGACCAAATGACAGAAACCCAGACTACTCGCAATAATTGAGAATGTTTTTCATATATGCCAAGATTCGTCCAATATAAATAATGAGAAGTTATAGAATTGGGGAACACCACCGTAACCTCCAACCACTTAGCAACAGCTAACCAAGTATAAATACTATCTTTTCAATCTTTGTTCCCCTCCTTGGATTTCTTTATTATTGATTCACTTTCAAATCAAATTTGTGGACCAATATATTGTTTTAGATTCCTAGCTCGAGGGTTTTATAAATTATTTAAATGAGGACGATGTGTGTGTCTTAAATTGATAATCTAACCGTAAATAATTGAGAAGTATATCAAAACAAGGATGATGCTGCATACTTGCAACCTAGCTTAATTATGAAGTTCTGCCAACACAAAGCATGTTTTCCTCGTAGACGTGCCTTAATTAATTCCAGATTCTATATTATTGGTCATGTTCCAATTATGTCAATTCAACAATATTATATCACAATAAAAAAAAAAATAGCGTGACATATAATGGAAAAAGTCTTAAGTATAATGCGATTTTTAAAATGTATATTAAATTTCAATTTACTTAAATTAGATTAGTTTGTATTTAAAATTTAATCCAATCTTTTACATTTTCAACTAATCTGTTCAAAGAAAAAAATCAACTAGTCTACCATCAATTTCTTTTACCGGATCTTTGCATTTATTACGAATTGTATATTATTTTAATTTAATTAAAAGTGTTCATATTTTGTTTTGACGGAATTAGTTTAATTTTGAATAATGAATATCTCTAACCGGCGCCATTAATCAATTTTATAAGCAACCTTCACATTGCTACTACTTTTATATTAATTTCTTTAGAAATATTAGTATCGATCTTGTGAAGACTTAAACTATGTTGTGTTATTGTAACTTTTATAGATAAAATAAAAATTAATTATTAATTTCTTCTGAAATTGTTTTGCTTGGTCGGTTATTTTTTATATTTAGCTTAATTAGAACCATTAGGGTCATGGGAAGTGAGAGTTGGAATAATAGGTTTTAGATTTAAATTTTATTGACGTAATTTCTATTGAAGTTTAGTTCTCGCCGTTAATATACAATACTGCATAAATTAATTTCAGATAACGATCCAAAGGATTTTAGATCGGGGGCTCGCACCATTTATTAACCGTTGAATATTTTTTCTTATAAAATATGAATTCAACAAATATAATTATTGTTTGTAAAAAAAACAAACACAATTATTAAATCATATGATATTATCTTAAAAATTAAAATTGAATATGTTAGACATTTACAAATATATAGTTTCATAATCAAAATTTAGTTATATTTAGAAATTATTATATCTCAATGAAATTATGAGATAAAGTATTAATTAATTTATATAGATTATGTACAATGTTATAAACTTCAGCTATTCTATGATTTTTTTTAGTTAAAAGTTAGATTGTTAAAATTTAATTTATGTGAAATTATTAATAAAAAAGTAAATCGCTTTCGGAATAAGTTGATGCACTCATCTTGTATGCTTCTGCTTGTTTTGTATTGCCTGTCTAGGCATCCTACACATAAGCATTTCGTATTGAACTAATAGGGTTTTTTTTTTTAATCTAAAAATAAAAATATAGAGTTCATAACTGAATTGCGTACTTTAAAGAAGTTGAATCCATGGGTCAATAAAAGAAAGAAAAAAGAAAGTTGAATCCCAATAATAATTGTGTAAAATATAATTTGGATGAAGGAATTGAATATGTAACCATCTAAATTGGGGAAACAACAATAAAACCATGGTTGTTAAGGTGCTTTTAGGTGCATGATTGAAAACAAAATTGTTACATATAATATTAAACAACAGAAGTGGATTGCTGCTGCAATCAACCCACTTTCTAAATCTGGTGGAAGATGGATTCAGGGCTACTCTACTTTACAAAGGCTTCCTCATTTCCTTTATGATTCATTTGTTTTTGGACACATTCATGGTTATGGTGGGGTTAATAATACCTGCACCAGTTAAATGATTACAAAGGAAACTTCCAACATGTACTGTAACAAAAGTAAGTGGACCAATTACACACTATCTTTCCCAAAAAAAACACACACCAAAGTCCAAATCTGAATCTCCTAGTTCTCCCCATACCCTTGTTTCCCCCCCTTCAAATATTCTTGATTTGAGGCAGTCACCATCAAATCAATAGTACATGACCATTTCCCCTGTCTTGCTGTCATCAAACATAAAGTTATTGCAACTACTAGTGCTTATTAGCTGTTTAATTTCTTCCAGACCATAATCTAATGCACTTTCTCCCCATAATCTACTTTCTTCACCTGTCCACCCACTTACCCTACCAGCATTGGAGGGCATCATCAACTTTTGTGTAGCTAAATCTTCCACCCCACTAGAGAGGTAACCAAGACCACCTATTATTACATGCTCGCCAAAAGATCCATCGCCACCATACCCAAGTTCTGCTTCTTTGACATGGCTCATCTGATTGTTGTTGTTGTTGTAGCTCCCATCAGAAGAAGAGCTACAACTTGTTTCACCCCCCAACACAAAGCCACTACTAACTTGGCAATTCTGAATTGGGCCAAAACCAAAAGAGCTTTCTTGAGCTTGAAAAGTGGAAGAATAAGCACAAGTAGTGGAAGAATTGCCACTCAAAAGACTAGAGTATGAAATGGACTCAGTGAAGGACACTTGTGGTTGGTAGCAAGAGTTGTTGTGGTTGGTTTTGAATGATAATGTTGAAGATGAGGAGTTGGATGAAGATGGTGTTGAGCTTTGAAGCATGGTAACTTCGTGAGGCTTCTTCAGTGCTGAGGGGTTCATAATTCCCATCATTTTCTTCTTGAGCTTGGTGTTCCAATAGTTCTTGATATCATTGTCAGTCCTTCCTGGCAACTGAGATGCTATTATTGACCACCTACACTTGTCACAATGAGTTCCCAAATAAGAAACATGTAGCAGATCTAGAAGTATTCAATATCATATCTACTTTGATAATATAATCCCCAAAATGTGAAACCAAACTCTTTAATGCATAATAATCATTTGGTCTCTGAAGTATATCTATGGTTGGAATTTGGTAACATAAAAGTATAAATTAAGTGAAATAAAGAATACCTGCTTCCAATGCTAGCAAAGAGGCTGCAGATTATTCTATCTTCATCTTCAGAAAACTCTCCATGCTTAAGGTTTGGTCTAAGATAATTAAGCCACCTGAGTCTGCAACTTTTCCCACATCTTTTCAAACCTGTTTAAGACAAATTAACAGATGCCAACATGTTATAATTTCTCTCATTAGCTTGAAGAGAGTACATAACATGACTCATAACTTCAAACTTTTCCACATGCGCTAAAAGTTTGTTTGGAATTGGATACAAGTTTAAAGACGTTTTTCAGAATTTTTCTACTAAAAATGCTTTTTATTTTCAAAGAAGAATTTTAAAAAATACTTCTAATTTATATTCGAAGAGGCTCTAAAATAATCTAGAATAGAGGGTAGAAAGAAAAATCTACCAGCTTTTTGTGGAAGAGCAATCCAGTTCCCTCCAATTCCATGTTTGTCTATGTACTCTTTTAGCTTTTCATCTTCTTCAGGACTCCATGGCCCTTTCTTCACATTTGCTTTGTCACAACAAGGAGCTCTACCCATCTCTTCTCTCTCTCTCTCTTTCTCTCACCTCAGACACACACACTTGCGATTTCTTCTGTGACACTATTAAGTTCTACACACTTGCAGAGGGTGGATAAGACACACTTTTATCGAGAGAAGAAATTTATATAGCATAAGTCAACGGGGAAACAGCTTTCATAGATCAATATTTTCACCACTTTCAGCTTCTAAACTAACATAATTGAATATCGGAAGCTTCTATCAATATATATAGGGCCCTCTTGCAAGGGGAGTTTAAATTGGTCACTGCTATCACAATTTCTATATAATAAATTATTAAGTATAGGAAGTCTGCTCCCCGAGTTGTATTGTATATACAATAATTCATTGAAAACGATGATATCCCTATTGCTAGTTTTATGGGCCAATTGTTCGAAAACAATTGTCAAGTTGGAACTTGGAAGTCCACTTATAATAGGCCTTTCAACTCAAATAATAATCACACGTTTAATCAATCGTTTCTTTAGTAAATTTGTTTTGATCAAATTTGTCGTATATTTTATTGAGTTAAATTAAAAAAAAAAAAAAAACTTTCAAAAGAGTTATATATAAGTCGTGCTTATAAAAACCAAATACATGTTTCAAGGGTTCATATGATAAAACAAGTCTAAACAAACCATGTAAAACTTCATAAAATCCTCCTCTTATTTGTTTATAAAAAAAATATACACTACAAGAAAAAATGTAAATTGCTAGCGAATACAAATTTGTCAAAAAATTTATATTTTTGATGAATTTTACTGATAGAAAAAAATCGTAAGAAAAGTTATATTACTGACGTATAATTTTCGACGAATACAATCTGTCAGAAAATTTATATTTCCGACGGATACAAATTTGTTGAAAAATTTATATTTCTGATGGATAATTTTTTATAGATACAAATCTTTCAGAAAATTTATATTCTGACGGATATATCCGTTGGTAATTTCTGACAAATTTATATCTATCAAAAAATTTATCTTTCCAACAGATAATTTATGATGGATACAAATATGTCAAAAAATTTATATTTTCGACGGATATATCTGTCGATAATTTCCAACAAATACAAATCTGCCAGAAAATTTATATTTTCAATGAAAAAAATTCTTAGAAAAGTTATATTATCGACGGAATATTTCTAACGAATTTATATTTGTTGAAAATGTAAGAATTTCTGACGAAAATTTTTGACACATGCTTAAGTCAAAATTTTTCGATGGAATGTTACTAACGCATAATGGTTTATAAAAAATTTGATCTGTCAAAAATGTTTAATATTCTATCGAAAATTGCATTTATCGAAAATGTTTAATATTCCATTCAATAACAATAAAGATTATTAAAATTGATAATCATATATTAAAAAATATCAATAAAATTTGAAATATTTATATATATATACATGTATATATATTCTAATAAATTGTTATCTAAAAAAGACGGGTAGATTATATATAAGAGAGAGAGAGAGAGAGAGAGAAAGAGGAGGAGGAGGAGGAGAAGGAATCAATTGACTCACAAAGTAACTCTTGGTAAAGTTATTCCGCTCAATAACTCATGGTGTATGTTCAATTTTATCAATCCAACTGTTAAATTAAAATTTATTAAATTTTACAGATAATTAATATAAAGAAAAATTGGTTAGCTTTGGAATAAATTATTTGCTAACAATATGGTTCAAAAATTAATTATTTTTAAATTATTTAACTAGAATTTTATTGACAATTTACTATATGATCTTGATATTTTTGTATAATTAATATCTAATTTTAAATTTGATATGAAAATATTATGATATAATTAGATAAGATTTTAAATTATTATTTTATTAATGGTTGATAATTAGAAAATAAAAAAATAATAATTAAATTTTTTGAATTTTATATCTTAGATAAATAAATATATTAAGTTAATTAATAATTTATTTAAAATATTA